GATGGGTGGGATGGGTGGGTGGGTGGAATGGATGGATGGATGGGGGGATGGAAGGATGGATGGATGGGTGGATGGATGGATGGGTGGATAGATGGATGGATGGATGGGTGGGATGGGTGGGTGGATGGAATGGATGGATGGATGGGGGATGGATGGATGGGTGGATGGATGGATGGGTGGATAGATGGATGGATGGATGGATGGATGGATGGATGGATGGATGGGGGAGGGATGGACAGATGACAGGCTTTTGAAATATGGTAGCTTGGTTTAGAATGGATGGAGTTGGTGGGAAGTGACGTTTTATTAAACCCAAGTTGGCAAACAGATTCCAAGCAACAGCTAAGAGAAATAAAAACAGTCAGAAATATGTACTAAGACCTTGAAAACGAACAAACAAAACACATGCCTCGATCTAAGAGGCTATCAGACATAGACATGCTTGGCTGTCTGTGGGGTATGTCCTAACTCCAAGCCTCCCAGTGAAGTCGATCTGGACGTACTCTGCAGGTATGGGCAGCAAGGTGTTGGAAATAACAGACCTCAGAGATGCTCTGCTGCCCCCCACCCCCAGGGAAAATAGACCCTGAAGACTTACGCAATATTTTGTGGGGTGGCATAAACTTCCCCTCCCAGGGAAAATAGGCCCTGAAGACTTTCGCAATATTTTGTGGGGTGGCATAAACTAATTTTAGGGCTCCATTTTCGTAGGCTGCTTGCGGCATGCTATGTGCCCACACGTGTGTGGCTAGAGCTGTTGAAGCGGAATGATGATGCGGAATGAGAGGGCTCGTGGGACTGAGACTTTTACCCATGCCCATTGATTTCCACGATAGCAGGTCACCTGTGTAAGCACTGGACCTCGGAGACGCTGGGTAAGATAGCCCCTCCCCTTTCCATCTGCCTGCAGCACAGACAAGAAATAGTTATGACTGTGAGGCTTCAGTTTTGAACTGTGATTCAGCAGTCAGGCTATGGGCTTTTCTCCATCTCCTCAGCACGCATACTCAGCACACGTCTGCTCCCACTGAGATCAGGACGACACCTCCTTCCTATCTGGCATCCCAGTGCTCTCCTGAACAGGCTTCCCTAAGCCCTGTTTAACTCACCCCACCCCATCTCCATGTACTCTATTGCATTCGCTGGGATGAGTTTCTTAACAGCTAGCTGCGAATACAATCAAAGCCTTTCTTTAATCAGGCTTCTCTCTATCAGCTTTTTGGATAAGTCACTGTAACACTCTGTCCTTTCTGTAATACCTACGAGTGTAGCCTCTGACTCCTCTGGAGGCCACCAGCCCCTCTCTCTTGTGCTACTTCACATGTATGTGTTCCAGACAGTTACTGCCTAATCCTCAGTAGGTCCAGGCTGGTATTTATAATTACACAAATTAAACATTAAAGCAGATATTTATCTGGTTAACTATCAGGAAGAAACACTTATTTTTTATGACAGCACGTGTAAGATCCTTAAAAGGTAACAACTAAAGCAATGTTATTAAATTAGATTAGAAAAGTACAATTGTAAAAGTGGGAAGGAGGCTCTTAGTCCATTTCTTGCTCCTGTAACAGAACGCTTGGTGCCGGGAAACTGACAGCAAGTAAGGCTGGCAAGTGCAAGACTAGGTGTGCACAGCTAGTGAGGACCCTTCCTGTCCACCATCCTGTGGCTGAAGAATGCAAGGTGGGGGAGAGGATGAGGAAAAGGCAGTGCTCATCCTTTTAGCAGGAACCTGCTGCAGCTAGTCAGTGCTGCCGTCACAGTGGGAGTGTGTTTGCTACTCTATAGAGGTTTGTTGTGAAGTTGAGTTTGCACCTTGCCCCTTTTCCCTCTCTGTCTCTCTCATGCCTTGCTCTTTTCTCTCTGCTTTGGGCTGATTCAGTAGAAAGTCCGCCCAGGTGTAAGTACCTTGACCTTGCATGTTCCAGCCTCAGTCACTGTAAGAAACATATCCTTTGTTCTTCATAAATGATCAAGTCTTTGGGATTATGTTAGAGGGGCCCAAAAATGAACTAAGAATTATGTCAACTTCCCAAGATTTACTCCTGAAACAGGCTTAGCAAACTGCTTGCTGTTCCTGTCAGGCTAATACTCTTTTATGTATACACACAGCCCTGATGGCTGCTTGAGTTGTGGCTAGTGTCTAATCAAGGATCGATTTAGTATGAGGTAGTCATATTCATTTTGACTGGGACTCACTTAACATTTCAATGAAAATGAGGTGATGTTTTGGGTTTCTTCTTTCTCCTGAGAGTTACAGTGTCACCGAGCAGCTGAAAATGAAAATAGCCTTCCTTGCAAAAAGTGCCTCAATCACACCAGTTTCTCATTTATAACTTTTCTCTGGTGAATTGTAAGTACTGACTATTTTCCAAATGCCTTCTACTGCCCATTTTGTGGTTAAGGTGTCCCAAGACCTATGGTTCTTTTAGGTTGAGGTTTTTTGTTTTATTTTGTTTTTGTTTTGTTTTTATTTTTCCCTTTTGCTTCTGGCAAGTGTGTTGATTTGGTTGGCAAGCCCACTACACACTAGCTCACTTGCTCTCTCTCTCTCTCTCTCTCCATCCCCCTCTCTCATGCACACCCCTGGCAAGTGAGAGACTTTCTTATCTTGAGTTCTGGCAAGGCCAATGACTCGGAGATAAGGAGTAATAGAGGTGCTAGGTTGTTGGTTTTAACATCCAAGGACAAGCATGAAGCTGATTTGCTCAGTCCTTGCCTTATCATCACAATGAATGACACGGTTTGTGTACCTGTGAACTGTGAAAAGGGGGAAAAGATAAGGCAATGGAGAAATAAAAGTGCAAAAGTCCCAGCTAGTGTTGCCAAAAGGAAATGCCCCGTGACCTAGCGGGGCCTCCCCCTTCTTGTGGCATGAGAGCAGACTTTGGTCACTCTTTGTCCTCACACGCTGGCACACACAAATGCAGTCCCAAACAGAAAGCAGAGTCTTGCTTTACAAATACCTGTGTCTAGAAAGAAAGAGATCTGTTTTTCTCCACTTGGCAGACTGTGTGTTATCTGAATTAAAGGCAAACACTGTTATCTGAGTGTTGACTTCATGACAGATTAAATACATGTTGAGTTACACTTTATTTATTTCTCAAATCAACCCCTAGGAAGATCATGTGCTCTGAAGGAAGCTCCTCTGTGAGTAAAAGTGGGTGCCCAGGAAAGGAGCCAGGTGCTGCCTGGTGCTCCTGGCTGTCTGAAGCTGGGGCTAGGGAGATGGGCAAAGGTAGTGTGCCCGCTGCATAGCTTCTCCTCTATTTAGAGACTCTCCCCACAGGGTTCCTTTCAGCCCTTCACTCTACTACTAACCTCCAGCAAGCATCAGTCCTCAGAGTTCACTGGGGCATCTCCAAAGCCCTCCCTAAACCAGTCTCCGGAGTGCCAAACACCATCACATGGTAGGTGGCTTCAGCGGAAGCGGAGAGGTCAGAACGTGAAGTGGTATAGCTCTCTATGCCCTGACAATGCCACACTCTGCTTTCCTCTTCTAGAAAACAGCTCAAAAGAACAGTACTGTGTTACATAGTGCAATTTCATAACTAACAAGTCCCACATAAAGTCCAATCCAATAAATATATATTATATATAATTATATGTGTATAATATATATTATATATAGAATCCTTGATATGTAGAATATATTTTAAT